TTTTCTTTAAGTATCCTAGAATCCTGTAGACCGCTGTCATATGCTCCTTTTGAGGGTTACTTGAGAATTGACTAACCACACTTACTGGGAAACATATATTGGGCCTGGTGTGAGAAATAAACGAGCTTCCCTATCAGCTTCTGATATCTTTCTTTGTTCACAGATGTACCATCAGGTCTGATAATTAATTTCTGATTAAGCTCTATTGGTGTGTTGGTTGGCCTTGCCCCCTACATTCCTGTCTCCTTTAATAGGTCTAAAGTGTACTTTCGTTGAGATACACTAATCCCTTTTTGTGTGCATGCTACTTCCATGCCCAAAAAATACCTTAGTGTTCCAAGATCTTTGATTTCAAATTCAGCTGCCAAATTTTCCTTGAGCCTAGTAATTTCTTCTGCATCATTACTGGTCAATACAATATCGTCAACATAAACAATAAGGGTGGTGATTTTACCTCCATGATGTTTAACAAACAATGTATGATCAGCCTAGCATTGTTTATAACCCCAAGTCTTGATTGCTTTGGTGAAGTGTTCAAACCAAGCCCTAGGTGATTGCTTTAACCCATACAAGGACTTGTAAAGTCTGCAGACTTTATGAGAATTGTCAGAATTTCTTACTCCCAAAGGAACCTCCATGTACACTTCCTCTTCAAGATTTTAGTTTAGGAAAGGATTTTTAACATCTAATTGGTAGAGGGGCCAATCTAGATTAGCAGCCACAGATAGAAGAACATTTGTTGTGTTAATTTTAGCTATAGGGGCAAAAATATCTTGGTAGTCTATGCCATAGGTTTGAGTGAAGCCTCGAGCAACTAATCGGGCTTTATACTTGTTCACACTCCTATTGGGGTTATACTTTACAGTAAACACCTACTTACTGCTCACAACTGATTTTCTTTTTGGTAGATCAACAATCTTCCAGGTTCTATTTTTATGCAAGGCTCTTAGTTCTTCTTCTATGGCTCGTCTCCATTTAGGGTCAACCACAACTTCCTTGAAACCTTTGGGTGTAGTCTTTCTTTCAACATTTGCAACAAAGGTTTTTAAACGAGGGGACAATTTCTTGTATGAGATATACCTAGCAATAGGATGTTGTGTGCAACTTCTTTTTCCCTTCCTTAGGGCAATTGGCCAGTGGAGATCCTCAAGACTTGCCTCAGGAGCTGAATCATGGTTTGGTGTAGGTGTGGGGATGGGTTCTTCTCCACTTTGTTGCTGTTCTGTTGTAGCATTAGGTTCCTCCACCCTAGTGTCGGACATGGCAGGTTCAGAAAGGGTTTCAAATGGGTTTGTGTCCTGAAACTCAGATCTGTATGAAGAATTTTGAGGTGATTTAGGACTATTTTCAGTAGCGGAGGTATGATGTTCAGGTTGTTGAGTTCCAGGAAGTAGGCTATTTGGAGAGTAGGGAATACCAAGGACATCTGGTGACATTTGGGATCCATTGATATTTTTTCCAGATTCAGATTGATGATCATTCTCACAAGCTAACCATTCACTTTGAACTCTCTCCCCCTGAATGGTGGGTTTGGGATAATAGGATTGATTTTCTATAAATTTAACATTCATAGTGACAAAAACTTTGTTTGTGGTAGGATAGACGTATTTGTACCTTATTTTATTTGAGAAATATCCTAGAAAAATGGTTTTAATGGCCTGAGACTTTAATTTCCCACCCCCTTCATTGTATACAAAAGCTGTACACCCAAAGACCTTTTGTGGAATAGAAGTATGGAGATGAGAATTAGGATAAACTTCACAAAATTTTTGAAGAAGGCTAGCAAATTGCAAAATTTTTTAGGGCATACGATTTATTAAATAGGCAAAAGTGAGCATGGCATCCCCCCAAAATTTGTTAGGCACATGTGTTTCAAACATAACAGCTCTAGCTACTTCAAGTAAATGTTTATTTTTTCTCTCAGACACACCATTCAGTTGGGGTGAGTGAACACAAGTAGTCTGATGGTGTATGCCTTGTTCTTTCAAAAACAATTTAAAAGATGAATTTAAATATTCCTTTCTATTGTCACTGCGAAGAACCTTAAGGTATGAAATTGACTTTTAATAAAGGTGTGGAATTTTTAAAAACAGAAAACACCTCAGATTTTTGTCGCATTAGAAAAACCCAAGTTAGCTGAGTATGATCATCAATAAAAGTTACAAACCATCTAACTGTGGAGTTAGTTTCAAATTTTGATGGACCCCAAACATCACTATGTATTAATGCAAAGGGTTGCGTCGGTGTATGAGGATGAGAAGTATAAGAGGTACGCACTTGTTTGGCAAGGTGGCAAGTATCACAATGAAAGTCTGAAATAGCTTTATTATTGATATGTGGAAACAAAAACTGCATACTGTGAGGACTAGGGTAGCCTAACCTAGAGTGCCATAACATAAAATCTTTATTTGTCATAAAAGAATAAACAGCGTGAGAACGTGATGTTGATGAACCTTGAAGATAGTAGGGCCCATTCCACACTTTAGCCTTCCCAATCATCTTCCCCAAAATCAAGTCCTGAAAATCACAGCCATGTTTATCAAATATAACAAGGCAGTTTAATTGAGTTGCCACTTGCTGTACAGATAACAGATTGCACTAAATTTTTGAAACATATAAAACCCTTTTTAAAATGATGTTTTCAGATATAATCACAGTGCCTGAGCCTCTTACTTTTGTATACTGTCCATTTGCTACTTCAATAGTCTCATGTTCAGAACATGCAGAAAAATAAAAAAAAAATTTCTCAGATGTGGTCAGTTGCTCCTGAATCCAAGGTTATCAAATCAGGATACGAATTGTGAATCAGAAAACCTATTTTTCGAATCTTGAATCGAAACTTATCATGAATTTTAAGATTCACGCATAATTATTAAAGATGACATGTAGGTAATTTTATAGAAGAGAACATCAAAAGTGTGTAGATATTAGGTTCTATACACCTTACAAAAACTAACAAAAGCCAATGTATATCAAATTTCAATGACAAATAATCCCCAAAATCAATTAGGAAATAAAAAATTAGGGTTTTGATTGATATTTGATAAGCTAAAAGTGATAAGTACATTAGGGAGTATTTATACAACAGATTGTTTCCTATAAATAACAAAAAAAAAAAATAAAAAAAAGAAGACATGGAAAAGGTTTTTTAAAGTGTTGAGTTAGATCAAGCATGATTCAACACTGCCTGAATCACATGATTCTGTTGTGAATCGCACGATTTAGGCCATAAAAAGATATAATGGGAGATTCGTATCTTTTATTGTCTATTTTGTCTCAAATCGCAAGATTCGAATTGCGAATCGTGGGATTCTAACCATAATGCCTGAATCCACTACCTTAATATCTCTGGGTTTAGCTATACCACTAAGAGCACGAGTTAGGGCTGTACCTGAATGAGCTAGTGTAATAGAGGGAGTGTTCTTCTCACACATTTTTGAAGAAGTCGAGGCATGCTTATCTAGTATCTTACGTAAGACTTGGAGTTCTTCAGTACTTAGGGTACTTCCTTCAGGTTTTGTGGAACCTACCATTAGATCCTTTCGATTGTTTCTATTTTTCTGTTTTGAATTTTGGGGCTTGCCATGTAGTTTCCAGCAAGTGTCCTTGGTGTGTCCACTTTTATTGTAGTGATCACACCATTTGTCAGACTTTTTCTCCTCTATATCTCCTTGGTTCCAGCAAGCAACTAATGCAGATCCTTCATGAAGAGTAAAAGGGTTGCTCAAAGTTAATATTTTTCTTCTCTCTCCACACCGAACCAGGTTAAATGCTTCTTCTAATGAAGGAAAGGGCCTCATACTCATGATGCAACCTCGTACATCTTCAAATGAGTCATTGAGGCCAAGCAAGAAATCATAACACCTTTCACGATCACTCACTGCCGTGTGATATATAATATCCTTATGACAGGACCACTCATAAGTTTCATAGAGATCAATTTGTTGCCAGAGTTTCATCAATGCACTGTAATATAATGTAACGGTTTGTTCTCCTTAAACTAATTTCTGTAGTGATCGCTTTACCTGGATAACAGTAGCTATGTTTTCTCTAATTGAGTAGGTCTTCTTTGTTGAATCCTAGAATTCACAAGCCACGCCATCACCATATTATTTTCAGCGCTCCAGGTCTCAAACTCAACACTTTCAGAACTGGGGGGTGATCCAATCAAATACTTCTCTTTGTTCTTTCCGCGAACAATCATTAGAACATTCCAGGACCATTGGAGATAGTTGTTACTGTTGAAACGATGAGTGATCATCGCATGTGGATGAGAATACGACACGCTTCCTGGCATCCCAAGAAGCGATGATGAATTCGCTCCATGGTCTCCTCCACGTGACTCGGAACCAATCTCTTTTGAGCTCCCTCTAGTCGATAATGGACTAGTGTTTCCATCATCAACAGTGAAAGCTCTCGGCTGATTCATTAGGACTGCTCTGAAAGACATTGAGCCGATGACCACAACTCTGATACCATGAAAGATTATGAGAGAAAGCAGCTCTAAATTTTATTCATGAGATAGCGATTACATATATAAAGGAGTAGAAGAGATGTAATCAGATCTAATCCCCTAAAATCCTCCTAGAATCATGGGATACATAAACTGAAATAATGCGTAATAAATGCAGATATGATCTTAGGAAATAATCACTATATTCTTAAATAGGAAAACTAGGTTAACCCATAAGAAGAGCCCATATGATGACGGCAGGCCTATTACCAACAAGGGGATCCTTTCTTTCATTTGTTTCTATATCTTTTGTTGTTTGTTTTCTTTAGCTAGGCAAGAGTCTAAATTGAGCTTGAATGCCCTGGATTTTTATTTGGAAATTAATTCCTATTATCTTAAAGTGGATTATTTACTCAAGTTGCTTCAGTGCGATTTATGTTAAATTCTTTGGGAGCTTATCAAATTAAATTTGATGCGATAAATTCTCACCCTTTTTTTGTTTTACAAGATATCAGAAGTCTTATCCAATCTTACTGGTTTTCTGCAGATTTTTGGAGGATCAAAGAATGTGAATGTAAGTCATGTCATCCATGATTTGTCGTTTGGCCCCAAATATCCAGGACTTCACAATCCACTGGATGGGACGACGAGAATTCTGCATGATGCGAGTGGGACATTCAAATATTACGTTAAGGTTGGAATACTGGCTTGTCTTTTGAATAATCAACAACCTGGTCTGCATAACATTCTTTCTATAGATTGCTATTCTCTATACTTTTAGGCCCTTATTGAACACTCTTTTCTGATATTGTTTTTCGGAGAATGGCAACTTGTATTTCTTCTCATTTTTTCTGCTCTCAATATTGATAAATCTTTATAGAACATTAACACTTATTTTTGGGTATGTTTGACTCCAGGAAACATTGCAAAGTCTAGCCTACATGTGTCTGATTAAAAAGTATAAATATTTTAATCTTAGACATGGCTTGTACACAATTGGCCCCAAAAAAGCTGGAGAATAAGCCAATGGTCCTATGACCTAGTGGCATTAATCTCACTTCCATATGTGGGTTTGATCTTGATGGAGTACCAGTTATTGTGGGATAATGGGTAATGTGGCGAGTTAGGGAAAATCAGGGATAAATATTATTTAAAGTTATTTTAGATATTTTTTATTTAATAATATTACTTAGGTTGTTGATGGGATCAATTTATCTTGAATATTTGATAAGAGATTTTAGGAGTCAAACAAGGATCCATATTGTTGTAGGTAGGATCCGGTTTGTTAATGGTTTATTCGCTAGTGTCAGTTGTAAGATTTTAGGGATTATTTCTGGATTTTATTTGATTCTTTTAGTAAATAGAAGCAAGTCATTGAGCACTGATATTTCAGTTTCATTCCTTTGGAGATCCTCCTAAGTCTTTGGCTAGCAAGGGAACGCTACTTACCCTCTTTTTCTGATTAGATATTCCCACCTTTTATTAATTTGTGAAGTTAGATTCAGATTTCATATCTTAATAAAGATTTTTCTTCTTTCTTTCTCTCTGCCTATCCTGTATAATGATAGAGTACTAATTATTGTGGGATGGTGGTTGATGTGGGAAGTTAGAGAAATATAAGTGGATAAATATTATTTTAATTTATTTTAGATATTTTCTATTTAATAATATTATTTAGGTTGTTGACAAGATCAATACTAAGGATCTGCACTATAAAATGAGTCTTATATTTAGTATTATAAGAGTAGAAAGTAATTACTTTATTATTGTATATTTGTTAGATTCAAATCCTAAGATTTTAGGAAATATTTCTAAATTTAATTTGATTATTTTGATGTAGTTATAATTTATAAATAGACTAATCTCCCTGCAAGTAGGGATTGAGTAGTGGTATGTCGGTTTTATTCCTTTGGAGATCCTCCCAAGTCTAGCTGGCAAGGGAGGGTTGAGCAAGATGCTTTACTTTTCTTATTAAATCTCCCTACCTTTTATTAATTTTTGAAATTATATTCTAGGAGGCTAGTCTATTTATATACTGTAATTTCATTAAAATAATCAAATAAAATCAAGAAATAATCCCTTAAGTCTTGGGATTGACTCTAGTGGATAAAGCACAACAAACTGGATCCTATCCACAATAAACTGATCTTATGAACAACCTAAATAATATTATTAAAATTAAAATATCTAAAATAATTTAAAATAATATTTATCTATGATATTTCTCTCACTACCGGCATCACGATGATCCCACAATGATGCTAGTTTCGACTTGCCCCTTGTGCTAATAAAATGGAGAATAATTTGACTAATATAGAGCACTGACTTTTTGTTCGGTAGAATTATAAAGTCGAATAGTTTAAGGTACTTAAACTATAGGATGGTACTGATCACTGGAATGTCTTTCAGGTGATGGAAAAGCGTGCGTAATATACGTTAGAGCTATGTCGTAGGAAAGGGTAGGGCTGGGTCACCTTTAGAGAAGTGAAGGAGATTTTCATTTTGACCCTGGAAAAATGTAGACTAGAATGAGTTGATGAGTTCATGGCGATTAGCATTGTTCTCTTTAGTCTGCCATCTCAGAGAAGAAACGGAGATGCTATATTACCAGTTGGATTGATTACGAATTTTTGTGGTTAAAATATCAAATCACTCATATTTTTGCACTTGAAGCTGCTTGAAGATATATTAAAGTTTTGGCTGTTGTAATGCAGGTTGTTCCCACTGAATACAGGTACATATCAAAGGAAGTTTTGCCTACTAATCAGTTCTCAGTTACAGAATACTTTTCCCCCATGAACGATCAAGACCGGACCTGGCCAGGTTGAGCTTGTGTTTAGGGTTGACTATGTTTATTTCTGACTTTTTGATTCTGATCATCTCTTCTATTTGTTCTTTGCAGCTGTCTACTTCTTGTATGATCTGTCACCTATTACCGTCACCATTAGAGAAGAGCGCCGTAGTTTTCTTCATTTCATTACTCGGCTTTGTGCTGTGCTGGGCGGAACCTTTGCCTTGACAGGTTTTTCTCTTTAATCACACTCTGATTATGCTCCATTTATAAGAGTATTCATGGGTTCGGTTTGCTTTCAAACCAAGGCTAAAATTCTGCTCCAACTTAGTATGATCTATCTTGCATGCCATGTTATTATAACTGCAGTAACTCCTGAGTCTGGAGTGTTATATTTTGTCTCCCAAAAAATGACTTGGTCAAAATTTGGGAAATTTTATGAAATATGATGACTTTTATTTTTGTGAAATCGGACCAAAAGTACTCTCTCTTGAGATATAACTTTATTATATGCTGACATCTTACATGATTAAAATGAGAACATACTTTCCCTGAAATTATATATATTTTGTTGAAATGTAAAATAATTATCTTAAATGGTTAAATTTTTTTAAAGAGAACATTTTGGGAATACCTTTGTTTTCAATACCTATTAGGTACTTTCTTTCAAATAATTTTAAAATTGAAATTGAAATTTTTTCATTCATACCAAGAAGAATATATTTTATCTTTATAATTTTATAAAAATAGATATGGCAGTCCACCTGAGAAAAAAAAAATAGATATGGCTGTATCTAACTCAAAATGAATTCAGTTATAATATTTTTTAATTATAAAAGTATATATCTTTTTTTTTATATTATTCTCTTTTAAAAATATTTGAATAAGAAAATATTTTGACTATTTAAATTAATTGAATTTAGTTTTTTTTTTTTTGTTTTGAAAAATGGAACCATGTGCATCTCTTGCATATATTTGTGATTTTCTTGTTTCATGTGTAAAAATTATAGTGTTTACATTTATAGGGATGCTGGATCGCTGGATGTACAGACTGGTCGAAGCTATAACTAAACCAGCCTCCAGAAGTGTATTACGGTAGAATCGAAATCCTTGCATCATCTTCAGGAATTTCAGGCATGACATCGACATTCAAACCCACCTTGTGATTTAAAAGATGGGGGCTTATTTAAAACTAAATTTCCCTTTTTTCTTTTGGAAAAAGGAAGGATATGTGAACGTTCACATCATATAATATAATCCTTTTTTTGTATTAGCTGACCTCAATGGCTAGCTTCTAATTGTGTTTGCAGTGGAAATCATTGTTAGTTTGTTGCTTGTTTGACCTATGTTTGTAGGGGAAAGTATTTTGTTAAGACGAGAGCCCAACTCAGATTGAGAGGCTATGAAGGAATTATACATATTATAAAGCACTTTTAGCTACTTCAAAAGAAAGTAGTTAAGTGTAATTTGTATCATTTTAAAAATTAATACTATCTTTGATTCTGTATATAAGAACTAGTTTGATTTTTAACTCTAGCTAATATATATTATTAGCAAAGGTGTTTTAGAAAAAATGTCTATTTATTACAAGTAACTAAAGTTTTTTTTTTTAATCTACTCAAATTAATCAACCAACCTTTATATATTAAAGACCAGAGGTAGTATTATTTTTCAAGATTCACTTGCAATTAAAATCAACTTAAAGAGTCTTTAATTTCTAGTTGATATAATCTCTATCTACAATATAATTAAGGAAAAATCACAAAAAAAACCCACTGAGATAAAAAAAATTACATATAAGAATCTTTTCACAAAAATTATCAAAACCCATATTAATATTATCATAGGTCTCAATTTCCAATTTTTCTAGTTTGGTTATCTGTTTTGCCATTTTTCCTATAATTAATGATGGTATTTATAAAAAAGAATTTAATGTGTTAATATTTTATTTTATGTTTTAACATTTTCCAAAGTATTTTATATTTATATAACTTTTAAAAAATATTTTACATTAAAGTTGAGGAGGGAATAGGCAATGTACTATATGAATCAATACAAAAATAATAAACTACATCATTAAACTTGGTAGCTAAAATGGAGGAAGTGGGCACATGGCTACACCGGCGAAGGGGCTCTGAAATTGTGGAAAATTCAGAACATGGAAAAAGTGAAGTACGGAAAAGGAAAGAGAGCAGGACACTATCCACTGCTTTATCAACTCAACACCACATTGCAAGGATAACCAAAACCATTATGAGAATACTCAGCTATTCTTGTTCACCGTTTATAAAGATTGGCAGGCTGTTACCATACAGAGTCTTAATTTTGTTAACTAAAAATCTTCCCATAACATAGGAAGTAAATTTTGAATTCTTTATCAAACTCCATCTCAAACAAAAGGTGGAAGTTGACGAGGAAAGCTAAACAATATCTTGTTTGTTGTACTTATTTTCTACTGGGCTAAAAGATTTCAGAATTTAATCAAAAAAATTATCTACTAAAACAGAAGACTTGTCATGTTGGATGTCTATCATATCTTCATTTAGGGGCTTGGCAATGCTATTCTTAGTATTCCTAGTATGAGGCATTTCTGCAAAGTTCAATAAAACATCAAAAATCTAGAAGTTGTGGGTCAACTCAATTTTGACTCCACAAATGTAAACCTAAAATACTCCCACGTTATGGAGGAGCCCAACAAAATTCAATAACCACAATTGAAAGTGAATCGAATCATCTCCGTTCCTGATAACAAAATGTTCTTGACTTCCCAGCCCTTCTCCAAAATTTGTTCCATCAGACAAGGCAGATCCCTTTTGGCATACGTCTTGCTATCCTCAATGATCATAGACCAATCATCAGGGGCTGAGTCTGACTCATAGCTTTCCCCGACACGACTCTCCCACCTACTCCAATCTGCAATGAGGACCCTCCGGATGGAGCAAGCCTAAGCAGCAAATCCCACCCCCCCCCCCCCAAAAAAAAAAAGGTCGTATCAAGGATAATCTACACAATCAAAACAGGAATAAAACACGAAAGGGGGAAAAAAAAAATAGAGAAGCTTTCTACTATACCTAAACCAAGTGAGGCAGTCACTGCGTGTTTGGTTTTGCACCAACGTTTTGGTGAAAACAAGCGGTTACGTACTTCCATCAAAAATCATGGTTTTGATTATTTCTAATGTGAAACTAAATATGTTAGTGCGTGTCTGGCTAGTAGTTCAGGAGGTTCAAATTGACTTTCGGAAAATCTTGTTTTGCAAACACTTGTTTCGGTCGCTCAAAGCTGACTTTTCTAAAACAGACCACCTGACTTTTCTAAAACAGAACGTTACCCTGAAACTAGGTGCTGCTATTTAAGAGGGGGGAAAAAAAAATAATAAAAGAGAGTCACTCTCAGGAAACAAGGTTTTACAAAATGGGAACTGGGTTTAGAAAAACTACTGCTCAAGCACACACCAAAAAGAAAGAAGAGAAGATAGAGAGACCACCTAGTCTAGCCAAACCAAGTGAGATGAGATGCATTCATCATGACATTGATCCAAATAGTTACCCAAAAAAAAAAAAGGGAGGAAAAAACATTAAGCAGTCTCACCTGAAGCAAACCCATTATTATATGCAATGCTCCAGCTCCTTCACGCAAGGAAAGAAGGACAACGGGCTGGGTGGTTACAAAGTAATCAGCATAAGAACACTTGTAACACAGAACTGTTCGTTGGAAGTTTAGGAAGCAAAGGAGCTCCAAAATGAGTTCATTAGCAAAGCTCACCTCTCCAATTCTCTTTAATCTTTTGGAACAGATCTCCACACATATGAAATAAAAATCCTCTGCAGTTATACGTTGCATTGCTTCTATCGACCACCAGGCTATTTGGTTGCTGGAATTTAAACACCCTATTCTAATTGGCCACGATTTTTGACCTGATCAAATTCTAGTCAATTGACTACAATTTCTCACAATTCAATTGTATGAGTTATAAAGCATTAAATACAACTAAAAGAATCAGCAGCATATCACCTCCAATTCCCAGAATGCTAATTCCTTCTTTTTCGCTCACCTCTGCAGGGGTAGGAACGTATCCAGACTCAATCCAAGTATTGAGTATAATTTCAAGTCTATCCTAAAATAATAAGAATAAGACATCAAGCATGAGCAACATATTCCCAAACAGGTTTACAGTAAAATCTGAAAAGAGGAACTGAGAAACTCAATAGGCATGAAGGTGGAGGGGTATCATGACCTAGTTTATTACCCCCGCCCCCGGGAAAACATGTTCAAAATTACAATCTTTTTCACTAGATTATAGCGAACTTCAAAGGATTTGAATCGGAAACTGTTTATAGAAATCAGTCAAAAGGGAAGAAAAGAAGGAGGGAAAACACCCATGGTCAGCTATTTGAAGCAAATGCGACTGAACGTCTGTGTCATCAGAAAGCAAAACACATTTAAATGAAAAAAAACCAAGATTACCTGACACAAATCCAGAGTAGAATGATAGTTTCCTTCAATAATGAGGCAAGTGGCACATTTAAATTAGTATTTTGAAGATCTTTTAATTGGTACTTATTGCTTAACTTGTCTTAAAACACTATTGTGTCCATCAAATCACTTTGTCCCAAGAAAGTAAAGAAAAGTACCCTTCATCCATAGGCAACTTGTAATTCAAGCCATCATATAACACACCTTAGTCAGAGTTTGTAGGTGGACATGCTTCAGGCCTTGATATATCCCAAGAAGGTCCATGCCAGCAAAAATGAGATAAATAATGAAATGAAGACCTACTTGTCGTCTACCTAGCCAGAAAATCAACAAGGTAAATAAGAAAACAGATTCAAGTATTTATTCAGAAAATGTGAAACCTTTTAGTGTACGTATATGAAAATAAGTTATGTGTTTGTGTACACACACCCATACATGTGTGTGCGTGTGTGTGGACACAGGAAAAAAAATTATAATTACATCATTGTTTGATGGGACAGACAACTTTGACATTTCATACTCGAGGTAAGAACATTTAATGAATGACAATAAATTAAAACCTTGGATAGCTCTCAAACAACATATTTAGAAGTGCAGCAAGCAAGAGGCCAAGGTTGTCAAAGCACACTGTTTGTATCTGACACACACCAAAGTGAAGAATATAATTATTAGGATATATTGGAAGAAAAATAACTACGTAACCCAGACGGGGGGAAAAAAAAACAAGAAGAAGAAGAAGAAGAAAAAGACTAACCTGTGCCTTTGCAGAAATTTCACCGAGATTGTCTGCCACAGCAAAACTTTGAAGGACAGCAGACTGTACAAACAGAGAACATCAGCGAAACAAAGCACAACAATTACTAACAGATTAGAAACGGGGAATGATTGCAAAATATTTCCTCTGAAAATGTTAATGGAAAAAGGAGTAAATACCAAGATAAATCAATACAAACCATCCGAAAATAAATGGAAAAATAGGTGGACCATCAATTGAAGGCTCAACGAAAAGCAAACCAAACATAATAAGGAATTGTTACAGTTGGCACTCTCTAAGTTTATTCTGTAAAGGTTTTTTCCCCGGCAATGCACAGGATATTAAACACAAGCTATAATACACCAACATGCTTTATGCATTTGTAAAGCATAAATATTATGTTGGGAAGAAAAATTCGACAACACACCAAAATAAAGCTGGCAATTAGCATGAGAACATAAATCATGGGTATCAAGCAAAACGTCACCAAAAAGTCTCACATATCGTATTGCTCTCAGACAGGAAAGTATTATTTTTGAACTATTATGTATTAGGGGCAAGAAAAGGTTTTCTCATTGATTTTTTTCTTTTTCCACCTTGTTTCTATCACATCATCATATCATATCAATAAAACATAAAAGGAAACTGTTAGCGTGTCAGCCTACTATAATTTAGGAAATTATTATAATTAATTTATTCCGTATTTAACTTATTATTATTATTTTTTTTCTGATTTACCAGATTACAGGTATCTTTTAGTTATGATAGAATCTCCTATTATCTAGGCCAAAATATGGGATATGACAGCTGTTAGCATCCCACCAACATTGTATACGATAGGACTCATTCCATCTGATTCAATGAATAAGATTTTCATTCTCCTATTGCTCAGAAACATAATAACAAAATGGGTAAATAAAGTTGGCTTTCTTTGTTTGACTATCAGATTGATACTTTTCTCATCGAGCAAGTATAACATGGAATACCATATCCTTAATAAAAACAACCTTTAAGATGAAGACTTGAAATTCCATATAATATCGATTTTCAAATTTAAGACTTGATAGCTTACCCGAGTTGCTAAGTAGCATGCCAGGCTTATTTGCTTGGCAACGTTGGCAATAGTTGCGAGCAGGAGGAAGTATTGTGGGAATGCAGGAGTAAGTAACTCAAGTCCAATGCTAGCAACAAAAACAACTGACGTAGAGAACCTGACTCTCTTTGTGAAAGAGAAAAAATTTTGGGGGCAAAAAGAAACGAAGGATGGAGAATTTTATCAGATTTCTTATACCATTTGTAGTAACACGTAAATAATTAACTGCAGTTCAACTATTATGACTTCACTGTACATTGGATTAAATGCCCAAATACAGTATCGGCAATTGCAGATAAAGGAAAAACCTTTGAATGCAAAAGCAAGACTAGCAGTGTAAATGACTTTTAAGGCCACATACCTTCAAATTGGTATCAAACGCAGATGCTAGACTAGCAGTGTAGATACATCTGCTAAGTCTTCCAATGCCATCTTTTAAAACCCAATTAAGAGCAGCAGATGATGGAAGTGAATAGGAGTGCCCAACTCCTATGGCCTTGAACATAGCCTGAGATCAATCCATTCTGATATACTCAGTTGTTATGCAAAATAAACTTCTGTAGCGAGAATAGAAGAATTCTCAATTTACAGAGAACAAATTGCAACCATCAATTCTTATTTATAAAAGCAGTTTCTGAGTATGGCATGTTCCTATTTATAAGAGATACCTAGAGGTTGTCTCCAATTTTTTGTTAATTTCCCATTTTACCCCGATTTAATTACTCATATTAATAGCATTGCATTTATTATCAAGGTAAATCACTTTCCCTCTTTCACTCACACACTCTCCACCCATAAATAAGGGTATTTCTGGAAAAAAAAAGTTACATTCTTCACATGTTTATTGTCTGTAACAAATTTTAACCAACATTTTTTTTATTCAATGTACAGTGATTAGAATTGGCATAGTACAATGATTCACAAAGGACCACATGATGGATAAAGAGGAGATTAGAATTGAATTCCGTTATTTAATCCATCTATGATCTATGCATATGTATATTTTTAATCCACTTCATGCGAAAACCATCTCGAGCACCATCAACCTATGAATCATCCAGAATGTTTCTACTGCATAATAGGTTCACTTCTTTGCATGAGATGTGGTGTGACAAAATACCAACAAACCTAGTGATACAAAGAAGTAGATCGAAAAGGAAAGAGAAATAGAAATAGGAAGTATAGAGGAGTCAATAGGAAAACTGAATGGATGCACCATTCTGATCATCAACAACTGAGTACAATAGCTTTATAAATTTTATTTATAGTCCATGGCCCTCTAACTACCCTAATGACTATTAACTGCCTGTCTATTTAATCATATATTTCCATAACAATACCGCCGTCCCAAAATTAGGGGAAAAAATTCCCTCAAGGGCTGGGAGCATGAAATTCTGGAGATTGCTTCTGCAAATTAAACAATGACACCCATATATAGCCTATTCATCAAGAAGTCTCTTCCATTGCACCAAAACTTCAGAAATAATCCTCCGTTTCCTCTTTGAACCCTCTTATTTAGAATCTTCTCAGGAAATAAGAATGTTGAAGCAGCTGGCCAATCTATAGGGGGTGCCTCTGTTTAACAGTAGGATATGGGCAATGTTGGATGGATTCGAAATTCAGGGGGTAACTCCAGTTTGTACGCAATGGGACCAATAATTTCCAAGACTCTATACAGCCCAAGTTTCCCAGTGCTAACTTTTTGTAGCTCCTGAAGTTGAATGGATGCACCATTCTGATTATGAACAGAGACCCAGTACAATAGGATTATGAACAACAACTGAGCACAATAGCTTTAGGGACTTTATTTATGGGCCACGGTCCCCTAAATACCTTGATGGCTATAAACAGCCTGTCTCTTTAATTATTTATTTCCATAACACCTAGTTTGAGTTTTCAACGAGAATACAAGCCCTAGCATCAAAAGTTGATTCTTGGTAGACTACTAAACAAAATCCAGAAAGAAGCAAGTTGGGCAACTTTCTGACTAATTTGATCATATGGCTTGCCCAGAATCTTGCATTGTGGTGGTTTATCGAATCTGTAAACAAAACAGTTACTTGGCCAACCAAGTCTTCTTTAAAGTGGATCTCCAGATGAAATGACTCTCTGGTTGTGTTCGAACTTAGATGCTCTTGCTAATAGGGAGGGAATAAGGCTACTTGCTTTGCGACAGTGGATTCCTATTAGTTGTCTCACTTGTCTGTGTTTAGCACTTACTTCACTACTGCTTATGGTTTCAGTTTGCACTTACATCAGTGATACGCGTTTAGGACTTTAAATTATTCCCTTTTTTTTTTCAATGGAATGATGCTTTATAAAAAATAAAGGCGCAAAAAAATATGTAGGAGAGCTGAACCACGTATGATAGAAAATCAGTTGTCACCAACAGATATAAGAATTTAATACACCTGAGTAGCAAGAACTTGAAGCGCAGAGCTGAAAACACGATGCAAGAACTTCCACCTCACGTAATCCATGTAACTATCAGCAACTTGCTGAGGAATGAGAAAATCCCTAATAACAAAACAGCATATCCTGAACAATTTACGATACCCACTGTTGTATTCGAACTTGCAAGACGACGAGTCACCATCAACACTAACCACTCGTAAACAGTCCCCATCCCAGAAGTACCTAGAGACGTTCGTAGAGCTCCGAATCACAAAGGGAAGGCTAACTGGCAATGTGGACCGTGGTCCTTTTTCAACCCCTCCATCAGATTCACTATCAAGACATGTTCTCAAAGAGGAATAGGCAGTCGCTGGTTTGAAAAACAGTTTTGATCTATTGAGTATTGATTCGCTGGATAAGTCGCAAGTTCCCGGAAGTTTCCATGATAAATGATGATGACGCGTCGAGACTGTGTGAAGAGAAGATTGCATATCAAAAAGTAGAATTAAAGATTGAGGTGAGTCACGTTTCACGCCAAATTCAAGTATAGTTTAAATCAAAGTGAGAAAATTTTCAGGCGAAATCCGTCCCCAAAGCAAGAGCACAACTTCTCAACCTCGACGACTAGTAACTTATGTGACAAAGCTTTAAACTAGACGAAGAAAAAAGATAAGAGCATGCTGACGTCGACAAGGCCAGAGGGAGTTCAATGAACCCAAAAAAAAAAAAGGCAGTGGGAGGAAGCTAATTGCGCCACAATATAAGGTTTCAGTGAGTAGTATAGGAAGTAGCGAGCTAGAATCTATTGCCAGACTCCAACGCACGTATTTTCTATGCTAGAGTCTGCCGTTTAGGGAGGAAGGGAGAGAGGCACAACAGCTTGAACCAGTGACATCCCTCGTCGGCGATGCCCGCCGTTCGTGAAACTGAGCTGGTGGTGCCCGTCGGATACGCGAAGGGTCAGAATCGTCGGGTGACGAAGCTGGCGGCGCACGGCGGAGGTCGGCAAAGATGGTGGCGGAGGACAAAAAGCAGTGGATGCCGAAGATGAAGGAGAGACGGAGGGAATTTGTGAGAGCATAAATTTATGCAAGTCCGACGCATGGGGCCATAAATTTGTGGGTGGGAAATGTCCGGGTGCCGAGCTCAATAGCCACTTGGGCTAATCATGCAGGAGTAGCGTTTGATAACATAAGCCTGTTTTGGAGCCCTAAGATTTGGATTTTAAGTAGAAAGTCCGTTTTGGGATTGCCGCCCACCCTATCCCTACTCCAGTTAGGCTGTGTTCCCTATTTCAGCTGTGCATGTGTGATATTGTGGTGTATTATTTTGTTTCTAGTTATACCGTATTATCCACAGGAGGATCTCTTGATGTACCCAACAAAAAAAAATAATTTTCATTAGCAGTCTCGCCATTTTATTTTACTTTTTAAAAAATAAAAATGTAGAAAGGTAAAAGTAATTTTTAAAAATAAAATTAAAGCAGTAATCATAAATTTTTTGGATGTTTGTTTGAGAAAATTTTAAAATAAAAATCATAAATATTTTGCAAAAATAAAAAATATATAATTATTATTTTTTAATTGTATTATACTAATTCAAAAATATAGAATTTTTGAAATTCCATTTCTTTAAAATTAAATTATCCGTTTCACTTTTGTTTCATTAATTTTTAATAAGTAGGGACATTTTCAACATTTTATCCCCTTATGCTTGTTAGTTAGACCCTATTTGTTTTGCAAGGAGAATCAATCAAATATATTAATTGTTATCTTTCTAAATCAAATTAAAACTTTTCTGAGATATTTAGGTTCTTAGAACTTTCTTGAATATTTACTTGATTTTTGAATTTGAGATATTCCTCCATAAATTCGAGTTGCCTATCTGTTGTGCTTATTTACTAAAACTCAAGTCATGTTGTCTGAACTCTCAAGTTATTTCTTCACTTGTTCTTATCCAACTCTAAAATCTCGTGTTTGCCTAATGAAAAACTCAAATTATGATACGCTTCATTCTAATCAGTATTTTTTGTTTCTTCCTTAGATATATTGGCCTAATTTATTTTACTCTAATCTTTTGACTATTTTCTAAGTATTTTAAACGTTAAGAGAATAAAAGATTTAGATTATATACAAAAGAAAGCCAGGGGATTAGGCATAGTGAATGTCATCAAGCTATTTTTTATCAAAGGTGTAACATCGGTTATCTCCAACTTTTTCAAAATGAAACAGCAGTTATCTCCAACCTGTTACTAACCTTTTTAAACTCCAAATTTAATAACACTAACCATGGTAGAAAAGAATCTTAGTATAATATTTGAAAAGGCTACCATGGTTATAAAAAGAAATTTGATTCGCCAAGAATGTTAATCATGATAGAAAAGACCTGAACTAATTATTCAAAATGTCTATCATGATTATAAGAGTTTTGCTAAGCAAATTATATGAATACCGTAACTAATAATATTTCACAATAACTGGGCCTTGGGCTTTGCAAAGCCCAGCACATCACAATTCATCTCTAAGCCCATAACATGATATTTTCAGAATAAAATTTGTCCAAACCAACAGTAGTCAACTACTTTCAAAAGTTATTGTGGGTTCACAGCTTACAGACCCAAGCAACCCAGCAACAAAAGTAACTAAGACCATAAGTCTCGATTAAATCAGAGTATGCAAAAAGAGCTATATGTGGCAATATACAATACTCATCACATGACTAAAAAGAGGCTATACAAGATAAACTTGATAGCTAAGCCTTCGCTGCCTTCCCTGACGGACCAGCCCTAGAGCTATTATCTGAAAATGTTAAACCACGGGGTGAGACAAAAGCCTCAGTAACCAACAATCCTACTCATTAGGCATACAAGTAAGTGCTTAAGAGGTGTCAAGTGGAACAGTTACTAAAATCATAACATTAACAATTGTCACATGGTTATATATATATATACATATACATATCAAAATGCAATATCTCACTCTCAATTCCACCTTATTTCCTCACACCTTATTTCCTCTGACTGAACCCATGGGCTAGTACTGTCCCATGTGACTGGTAGTTCAACATAATAAGCTCACTGATCAAGTGATGTGAATAGGCCAAAATCCACAGAGCACAAGATCAGACCATGGGTTCCCCCTCTAGTCCACTAGCGGGGTGTCATACGCCCTACAACACATGACAGGGCCAAAGGATCAACCAGTGTACATCTGGCGTCCTCCCACCTTATTACCTCTATAATATGTACAAAATTCACCCCCTTATTCTCCCTATAACATGTCTCCCACCAATCAACGTTCACCGTCCCCTCTCGTATTTATACTCATGAGAATAGTCATTTACTAATAACATAATAACTTTCACATTTACCAAAATCGAGATTTCGAAATTTCACTAATCAACATCAATCCTCAAACCATTTCTCAATAAATTCTTGTTCCACATGACAAATTTATAAATTCATAATTTCATACTATTTTTCAATAACATAAAGTATCTCAAGGCAATTTCAACAATGATGCCTTTCATTGTTCAAATAATAATTCAATGGCATTTCAAGAATCTCATATAATTCGAAATCACTCACAAACATCATACAAGCATACATAACAAGTGGAAAGTGGTTACCTTTCACCAAGGCTATAAAAAGAATTACTACAAAGTCAACCCCGTGCTCAAACCAACAATCCAATAATCAATCTACACCATTAATATAACCACAAATTAATATTAGCTATTTAATTAAGCTTATATATATAGTTAAATTTCTAATTTAATAAATTTTACTCTAAATTCCCACAACTCTCATAACCTAAAATTAAGTATTTTAGAACTAACTTATAAATTTTTCTAACAGGCTAAAATATTCAATTCCATCCTCTGGATTATTTACTTTAATAAAAGGAATTCTCCAAAATTCTCAAATATGAAATTATTATATTTTACATTCTAAAAAAAAACTCTATTTAAAGTTTAAACCTCAAAATAAAATCATCAAAAATTCAATAGTAATGCAAATATTTATAAATAAATAATCTACTCAAAATTCTATTAGTATAACTATTATATTTCTTTTTCTCCACAAATAATAAACTCTTTTACCTAAAATAACTGTTTTAAAATTTTCAGTCATCCAATACTAAAACTAAACCGATTAAAATCTTAATAATATGCCAAATAACTCAAATAAATTATTTAACATAATTTTGATCGGTACAAATATAATATATCTCATAAATAACAGATTTTTCAACTAAATAAATTAATTTAAATATTAAAAACCAACAAATAGGCAAATCTAAACCGATAGAAATGATCTGCTATAATAGATCTATAATACTGTGGTTAAAACTCATCAAAACTCAAAACTTATCCCATATATAAGTCTCAAAATTTTTTCTAATTACTGTAATAATACTGTTATTGGAAAGCTCAAAATATATAAGAAATATTTATGAAGAAAGTTTAATGAAAAGAAGTAATTTTATGTACCTAAATTATCTCCAAAACTTGCCTTCTCCTCCACAAAGACCGCAACTCTGCTCTTGCTATCTCTCTCTCGGTCTCTCTCTATCTTTCCCTCTTTCTCTCTTGTGTTCTCATCTTGTGCATCCAACTCCTCCTTTTATTTTCTATTTTTCAACTACCTTTCGTCCTTTCCCTTATTTTCTTCATGCTTCATTTATTCCCCCTCCCAAAAGTCCTTCTTCCTAAGTCAATATTCAATCTTTCCACCGAATTCGGTGGAAAGATTACCCCTTTCTTGTTTTTTTTTTTTATATTAAAATATTATTATTTTATTATATTAATAAAATATTATTATTATTTTTTTTTACTTTTTTTTTTAAAAATCCTAAAATAAAATTTAGGATATTACAAAAGGCATCTAATGCAAAAATCTAATGGCTACTGCTATCTGTAACATGAAAATTGGCATCTTTAACATATACCTACAATCTTGACTCAAGATAAGTTATGTTAGAATGACTAATCATCCAAGAGGGAGTGAATTGGGTGTTGATTAAAATGAAAAACCTTTTCACAATGCTTAGTGAAAACCATAGGAAACTTAGAGTGAAAAAAAAAATAATAAACAACATACGTGTAATCACGCAAGTAAAATAGTTTGGTTGGAAATATAAAGAGGTAAGGAAAGAGAAGATGCAAACTGTAATTTATCCTGGTTCGGTCTTTCCATAGACCTATATCCAGTCTCCAGGCTCCACCTTAGATTTTCAATGCACTATCTCCCTCAAGTTTCAATTGGGTACTTGAGAACCACTATAACTCCCTCAAGTTTTTCATGGGTACTTGAGAACCACTCCTTTTTACAACTTGTAAGGTTACAATTTGTTTCCCACTCATGATCCCTCTATCTTGAGCAACTCTCACAAAGATTGATGTTTACAATGGAAGCATTCTTCTCTCTATGGAGCAGATTTTCTGAAACACTGAAGCATGATGAGAAAATGATTTCGTAGCTTTGAATGTGAAAGTGAGAATCTCAGAATCTTGACATTATGAATTGTTCTCTCTTCATTTTTTTAATTGAATGCCTTCTATATATAGATGATATTGAGCATTTGACCGTTAAGCATCTTCTCCCTGTTTGGCTTGAAGAATATGACTGTTGAAACTAGCCGTTACAAGCTTATGACAAAATATTGATTAGTAACGTCATCAATCCGTTGTGGCTTAATAATCACTTGCTAAACATGTTGTTAGATGATATAAGATATTTCCATAAGTATCAAACATGTTTAGATAGAGTGACAAAAGATTTAGACCTGATTTCAAATCCATCAGAAAAACAGAGTATGGAAAAGTTATCTTTGACTCAAATACTTATTCCAGTAAGCATATAAATTTAGAAAGATATCACCTATTTTTCTTACTCTTACTTGATAACTGACTCAAATATGCCTTAACTTGATAACTTGTTCGAGTATGAAGTAGAAAATAGAACTTCTAGTCTTTGACATTTAAACTCTAATGCAAACAGAATGAAGGTCAATTTTGAATGATCATAAATCTTCAAATTCAACTCCAAATATTGCAAATGACCTATCATCAGAAAGTTCTTTGAGTTTACTTTCTAACACAACAAGTCCCACTCCAAAATTCTTTATAGTTTTAAA